ACTGGCGACTATTGAAAGGTCATTATCCTCAACAATAATATCGCCGACAGTAAGTTATCGATAATGGCCAATCGATTAATCTCAACAAGGTTATCACTCGAAAAAAGTGCAAGTAGTCGCATCGTGAAATAAAAATGATGACCCAACCTTAAAGACAACGACGACATGAGGCAAAACAGTTAGCCCCAAGAAGAAGATGGAGATGGAGAAGGAAAAACATCGCCACCTGGAAAGTTTACGCCGAGAACAACGATGGAGATGCAGGGTATCGAACCCCGTACCTCTCGCATGCAAAGCGAGCACTCTACCATTTGAGCTTATTATTGCTAGTTATCAATAATTATCAATCGATTAAACACAAATTTACGCCGAGAACAACAGGAGATGTGGGGTATCGAACCCCATAACTCTCACATGCAAAGCGAGCGCTCTACCGTTTGAGCTACATCCCCAATATTTTCAATTATTCATATTATTTTAAATATATAAATAATAGAGTTAGAAAAATTAACCCATCCACATATGTCAATAAAAGAGCATGAACTGCATATGATTCGATCTCTTGCTGAAAAATTAGTTTGATTCTTCTTCTATTTTCCCACTCAAGTTATTTGTTATGGGTGTTTGAATGGAACAATTAAGGGTCAAATTAAATCGAATCGATTTTTTGATTCTATTTGGTTAAAGTAAGATAGGTCTAACCAAAATTATTTCAGATCTATCTAATGGAATTAGTTCATGACCGATCAATTTAATTTAAATAATTAGTCTATATATATATATATATAGCATAAGATGAGCATCCCTAATGAGCTGTCCGGAAAAAATGAGCCTGAATAATAAATAATCCATGGCCATTAGGCCAATTTTTCTTTTAAAAAAATATAAATTTTAAGTATTTTTCAATTGATGCCTTCCATTTTATTTTATTTTATTTTTCATTCAGTATCCTTTGTTTAAAGAATATCCAAAAATTTTCCTACCTATTACAGGATTTTTTTTTGAACTATTAGAATATTTTCGACCCGTTATATTGTTTTGACCGTCACAATAAAAATACTGAAAAATCTACTTAAAAATATTATAAATGATTTAAATAAAATCTACTCTAAAACATTATAAATAATTTAAATAGACTCTTAACCTCAACTAAATTAATCATAACCCTAAAAATATGATATCGTAATGATCCATGAATAATAACTAAAGAAACATAATACGATATCACTTATAGTATTTTTCAAATTTTTTTTAATACATCAATAAAACAATGTAAATGCTATTAAAAATCATTACAAATCAGCCTACCATTATATAAAATAAGAACATTTTCTAAGAAAATCAGCCTACCATTACATGTCTTGCAACTCACCAGTTATTCAGTATTCTTGTAATACCTCCACTCTTACTCCAAAGCAGCTCATTCAATCAGATTTATTGGGACAATATGAGGCACAAAGAGAGATCTGAAAAAGAAGGATCAAACTGCTAAACATGCAGATGAAGCCTTAACTGTAAGCAACCTCATGTAATAAACATGTCCAAAGCATGTCATGGGTATTGTAGATACAAGTCACCAGCTTCCTTGTGCTGCTGCATCTCAAAAATTGACAAAATCTTTGTCTGAATGGCCACAACTAATTGCAGCACCACAAAAACTGGAGAAGAATTAAAATGTCCTGATTTGCTGTGTCATTTGCTGAGAATAAATAAACAGAAAGACAAAATCAAAAGCAGTCACACTAATATTGATCAGAGAATAATTAATATAATCCAGAAATACTAATATCAGGCTTCATCATCATGAACAGGATGAATGTTGATAAACACATCATTTGTCAAGATCTGCTTCTCTGGCTTTTCTGATCCATCTTGATCAGTAATAATGAAGCTAAAAAGTTTAACAAAACTGCAAGTACTAAAAATGCTTGCAAGTATTATTACTAAATAAAAGGACAAAATTTCTTTCCTTTTGTTACATGTTTGTAACTATCTAAGTTATATTCTGAGTTCGTTCCGGGAGCCTTTCCCAAGGAATACATTTGCAGAAGTTCCCAATTTAGCCTTCTGCGATTCTCACATAGATCTCTGGTAACAAACTTCTGATTACAAAACCAAAATTTCCTTCATCGAGAGTACACCATGAGTTGAGCTATTTTAAATAATTACAACAAGGCCGAGAAGCAATAAAGTAAAGCTTCTAAAAAATGATTGAACGAATGGATGTATCACCAGAATCCAACTAGCACAAGTACATTAGAGAACTCAGCACAAGTGATCACTCAATAAGCAAGCCAAATTTATCCAACTAGCTTACCAATAACTGTCTTCAATAATCAGGAATATCACTTCTTAAGATGGTTGTTTGACGTCACAATTCTTACCAGCAACATCACTTTTTTTTTTGGTAAGTACCAGCAACATCACTGAGTGGATGAATCAGCAATATATATTCTAATTAAATGTATGGCATTGTAAATAGCAAAAACTACTGAGAAAAGTACCATGATGGCAAGTCTTGTAATGTTGATCACCATTGGACATCTAACATGAAGAAGACCAAAGGTTTTGGTAAGAACTACAGGGCTAAAGAAAGGTCAAAATACATTCAAAGTTAGGTACCAAAAGACATTTAATAAATTTGATATAGAAAATTAGGATGAGAATATAATTACATGAAACACAAGGACAGGCCTAATGCACTACCTGATGAGTTACCAAATTATGAAATAAAAAAAATCTGGTGATCTATCTAAAAGTTAGTATAGTTCTAGGATACTACCGGAAGTTCTAGATACGAAGCAATATCAAAGGACAAATGCTAGTCAAAGTTAAAAGCATAACGCCCCAATTGACTGTGCCCTTTGTTTGAAAGAAATATTTAAAGATAACTAAAATACCAGAGAGCTTCTAAGGATCTATATATTAAGCAGTTAAAAACATGTGTGCATGTGTGTGTGTGTGTGTGTATATATATATAATGCTTGTGGATTGGAAGTAAAGATGCTGAGAATGTTAATGATGAAACAGACCAAGAACTGACTGAATTAATTGTAAATTAAAAGGTGTCTTTCAAGAATTAGCTGATTGGAATATAGAAGTCCAAAGAGGACCTTTAAAAGAGTGAACAAAGAATGGTGAGACATGTTTGAGGTAGCATGGAAACAGTAATTCTGGTTGACATGGAATTACCTCCCACACAGGCTCTATATTGTCTTATAGCGGAGCTTTTCGATTCCCAGCAAAACCATCAACCGCTTAACAAAGATTAATGAACTTCTAAAAGCATTCTCTTGTGGGTTTCCCAAGCTTCCTATTCAGTGAGAAAATGGTCATGTTTCATGAATAAGCATTCATGCCAAACTTTACTAACATGAAACTACTATGAACAAAAGACCCTTAGCTAATGCTTCTGTAACTCACAGTATGTACTAGATAATTTACAAGCTGCGCAACAAAAATCACGATCAAACAGTACAGGAACCTAAAATGATCATGTACTATATTCTTTCAAATTTCATGGTCTACATGATTGGAACTTACAGAATTCAGAGGCATCTTCAGATAGCAGCTCCACATAGCTTCTGTCGCTTTTCAGCTGTAATTAATTCTTATCAATTGCCAATCAATCTTTGCAAATGAAAGAACATCTAGCATTTTGGCCCATAGGAGACCAAAATTGTTGCTGAGATTATTTCTGTTGATGAACTTTCTGGGAACATATTTCATTGACCAGATGATGGCTCCAGATAACCATATCAGAAGGCAAGAGACAGATGAGCTGCTTCTCCATAGCTGTAACAGCCAATAGTATGCCCCTCTTATGGAGAGAATAACTCGCACAATCAGTGTTTTTTTAAGATTCAACCATCTTCTTTTCTTCTGCATTGCAAAAGCTTATCCATCTGCTTATATACTTGACTTGCTTCCAAGAGATATCCTTTCTTTCTAAGTGCAATAAACAGGGAATTATACATAGAATAGCGGCCCAAAATACCCTTTGTAGTCATTTCCTCATACAGCTCAAGTGCTTCCATTACTTTTCCCATCTTGGAGTACAGTTTAATAAGAATGTGAAATGGCACATGATCAATGCCCAAGCCAGATTCCTGCACCTTGTTGAGAATTTCTTGAGCTTGCTGCCATTTCCCTTTTAAACAAAGGCATCTAATCAATTCTGTGTAAGTTATTATATCAGGTTGATATCCTCTATTTAGCATTTCCAGGAGCATCTCTCTAGCGAAAAAAGTGTGGCCAATCCTACATGCACCACTAATCAACAAATTATAAGTAACAACATCAGGAAAAAGCCCAGAATCGAGCAACTCCTGCTTCAGCATTAAAGCATGCACAATTTTTCCTCCCTTTACTTCAGCATGAATCAGTGCATTAAATGTGAAGGTATTTGGAACAACACCTGTTGCTGTCATCATATTTCTTATTGAATAAGCACTATTAGTATCACCAACCCTTCCATAACCATTCATGATAAGATTCCAAATACGAGGCTCAGGGACTATGGAATGACTTAACATCTTATGCAAAAACTCTACAGCTTTTGAGATGTCACCCTGTTGGCAAAGACCCCGAATAATCAGGTTGTATGAGATTTGGTCAGCAAGAAGACCAGACAAAGACATCTTATCGTACATATCACAAGCCTCATCCATATTCCCATTTTTAGATAGGCCATTTATAAGACTATTAAAAGTCACTACATCTGGTAAAAAGCCCTTCTTGAACATCTCAGAAAAATATCTTTGAGCAAGTTTTGTATTGTGCATCAAGCAAAATCCATTAACTAGAACATTATATGCAATTCGATCAACTTCGATACCTCTCTTCAACATTTCATTCCACATGTTAATTGCCTGGTCTGCATCGCCTTTTTCGAAGAATCCATCCATGAGTATTGTTGACGTAACTAAATTTGCAGACTCATGCTCATTCAATATATCTGCAAGAAGTTTCTTTGCATTCTCCAGGAGGCCTCTACTGCAAAAGGCATGAACAAGTATATTACAAGTAACTACATTGGGTCTAACTCCACTTTCTGCCATGGAAGAAACAAGACTTAGAGCTCTGTCCACACTACCCCAACGGCAATAACCATCCACTAGAGTATTGTATGTCACATGATTTGGGAATGCACACATATTGTTCATAACTTCAAGAAGCCAAGTAGCCTCAGACAAGCTACCTATCTTACAAAGTCCATTTACGAGGAAATTGTATGTATGCAGATCTAGGGCAACACTGCTCCTATATAATTCATTATGAAGCTGAAAAGCAGCTAAAACTTTTCCTTCAGTGCACAATACCCTAATCAATACAAAGTCACTATTATCAGCTCTGCGACTATCCTCAGAACACACCACGTTGGCAATGCCTTCTAACAAACTACATCTTCCAACAATTGTAATGCTTTCCCTGCATATCCACGGGAAGAGTCAGCAATGCTGATTTGAGCCTAGCAATTAAAGGACTTATATCCAGGTTATTTTTCCTGACAATATAGCCATTCAAACTCAAGTTGCCATTGACGACAAAATATATATCTCTTTTCAAATCCTAATGAAAATGTAATTGTCATGTAAAGATATATCAGAGATGCTTACAAGCAATCAACAAGCAAACTGACCTTAACTTCTTCATTCGCTCCATGGTATGGACAAGTACCGTATCCAACACATTGAAAACAGCAGGTGGTTCATTATTGTCCTTATAATCATCATGCTTGTTGTCTTTCGAGAGCCACTCTCTAACACTAATCTTGTATGGTTCCTCGATAGTCAGTGCAGGGCTTTGGTCATCAACTAGAGAAGGTGATTGCACAGAAGCCCTACACAGACACCGTGCAAAGATCACTATAAACAACCAACAATAACAAAAAAAAGGAAATTGATGATTAGATAATGAAAATTTGATGCCTATATCATTAGAAATTTAGAATCAAATGAAATATGAAAATTAAACAGAATTAAACAAGTGAAAGGCAATGTTTGGTGAATCTAAGAAAAAAGAGATGATACCTCTGATGTTCCACAAGATCGGGTGGCTGGGAGATGATGCGAGAAAAAAAGTCACCAATTTCTTGGACAATGGGTAGGCTTCTGAGATTAAAACTAAAGGTGCGATGGATGATAAGAAGTTCTTCACCAGCTGCGACCAACTGAAAATATTTCTGATATTAGCGAAGAAGTTGTTGCAAGTAATAGAATGCGTGATGGAGAAGGGCAAAGTAGAGAACACAGGAGAAGCTAAGTAGCTCACCACCATTTGAAGGAATTTTTCCTCCTCTATCTGGTAATGTGTCCCAATGAAAAGTAGAGAAGCAAGGAGCTGTCTAATAACCTATACCTATGGACATAATGGCAAAATAATTATTTAAATTCTTTTCAAGAAATTAAATCTGTGGATAACTTCAAAATTTTAACATGTAATCAAATAAGCAGAGTTGGAAGCACCATAGTAGCCATCTACCCAGACAAACCTAGGGTCACTTATTCACTGGTCAAGCAAGTGGGTCAACCAGTAGTACTGTGAACAAAATAGGCAAAAAAATATATCTTACAGTTGTAGGGAAACAATTATGAAACACATAAAAATATCATCTGAAGAATAAGAAGTTATAACTAATAGTAAGCAAGTGACAATCACCTATATAGTTGAATATAGGTTTTAGTGAACAATTAGAGGTGCAATTGGCAAAAGAAATGGTAACAAAGTAATCTTGTCACTTTCATATTCACAAGTATAAGGTTTATGTTGATCATTAGTCTAAAAAGTTCAATCAAAGATATAATTCTAGCCAGAAGCTATATATCCATACCCGAGGTCAACGCTAATCAATGTTCATAAAAAAAAAGGCTTGGCCTATGAAGCATGCGAACGAAACGATCAACCAAGAGAAAGAAAACATGCACCAAGCAAGAACTAAGATCATGAAATCATCGGAGAAAAGTTCCCCAATGAAAGGAACGGATTAGTTGAACAAACATGCATTAATTAGTCAAACCTTCTCCACACTACAATCTGGATAAAAGCTCCCAATTTGTATCCCCATATCCCATTCCAAGCATCTACATTCAAGTAGAACGAAGAGATCAAGCACATAATGACAATGAACGCACACGACTATAAGAAATCAGCAACAAGGGATGAAGAAAGGAAGCATTTTTCAGATTTAAACCACGTGAAAGATGAAAACTTGGAAAGAAAAAGAATGGGAGACGAGATCGGCGCTGACTGAGCGGGAGATGGATGCCGACTCGGTGCGCTCCTCGCAGAGGACTCAAGGATTGCGGCGTTGGGGCCGCCCCTCCGACGGTCGAAGCAGGCGGAGGGCCACGACTCGGAACCCACGGCCAGCCGGGGCGGAGGATGTCGTCGAGGCGGGCGGCGGTGTAGGAGACGCTCCAGCTCGACAAGATTAGGGATTCAACGCGGCGTTCGTATTTGTTCCATGGGCATTTCGGTCTTTTGCTTCTCTTACGTGGTATTAAAGACATGAATGATTTATTAGGTGATTAATTACTCATGAATAATTTACTCCCATATACTAAATATAAATTCACATACATTCTTGCAAATTTTGAGTATAATGAATTAATATTTTTTGATGTATTACAGAGCCAATTTCCATTGATCCAACTCAAACTTCTCTATCATTCCATACCATCTAATAATGATTCTAAGATAATTAGTATTATTTTTTCAAAAGTCATTTTAAAAAAGATTTAAAAAATATATATTTAATAATTATAAAATTTAAATTGAAAGCATATAAATTATTTAAAGTATTCCTAATTTCTAAAAGTTTGAATGTAAATTAAAATTTCAACAGAGATTATAAAATATATATTTATTCTCTAGTTCTTAATTTTTGTTTTATTTTTGCTACATGGAAAATTAGAGGAATAATACCTGCAATTTTGCTGATTTAATTAAGCCACATAAATAGACAATTAAGCCCGCACGTTTAATCCCCATCTTCCGATCTCGATCACACGGTCGACATCTTCTCTCGAGTCTCTATATAATATTACGGGTAGTACTCGCTCCTCTCCTTCTCCCCGCGAAAACCCTAGCCGAGGAGGACGAGAGCAGCCGCCAACCGCCGCCATGACGACTCGCTTCAAGAAGCACCGTAAGAAGCGGGGGCACGTGAGCGCCGGCCACGGCCGGATCGGGAAGCACAGGAAGCACCCCGGAGGCCGCGGTAACGCTGGCGGCATGCACCACCACCGCATCCTCTTCGACAAGTACCACCCCGGCTACTTCGGCAAGGTCGGCATGCGCTACTTCCACCGTCTCCGCAACAAGTTCCACTGCCCCGCCGTCAACGTCGACCGCCTCTGGTCCCTCGTCCCCGACGCCGTCAAGGACGCCGCCACCAAGGACGCCGCCGCCGCTCCCCTCATCGACGTCACCCAGTTCGGATACTTCAAGGTCCTCGGCAAGGGGATGCTTCCGTCGGATCGCCCCGTCGTTGTCAAGGCCAAGCTCATCTCCAAGATTGCCGAAAAGAAGATCAAGGCAGCAGGAGGCGCCGTCGTGCTCACCGCTTGATCCTGTCGGTTAGTTGCATAGACAGAGAGCTGATTTGGACATTACATTTCCCTGCTACTGTGTTTGAATCGTTTTGATGTGTTTACTTGAAGAGTTGATAAACCATTTATTGTTCTTGCTAATCTTATTGTCATTGCTTCTGGTTATTCGGATACTGATCTCATCAAGAATTTCCGAGAATTGCAAACTTCAGTTGCGATCCAAGTTGGCATCTTTCTTCCCTTGTCACCTTCCACTAAAAAGGCACCAACTTTGAGTTGGGATTGATTCTAGTAGCAAATCTAGGAGGAAAAAAATAAAGAGTGGAGGAGAATGGTTCGGTGAAAAGAAATGAAATGAGGCACAGACGGAGCATATGAGCTTAGATAAAGCAGCTTATAATGGTTGCTCAGTCGCACAGGTGTTGAGTAGCCAAGCTACTATTTTCCTCTTTTTTTTGTTTCCTATGCCTTTCTCTTTGCATTCTAATTTTGTTTAAATCTTGTGGGAGCTTGGCATTTAGCAGAAAACACAACTTTGATAGGATCTCAGGGAAGAGTCTGTTGTTTATATAGGAAAACTCATGTTGTTCCTCACTGCCTTAAAACTTGTGTCCGAACTTTATTACAGCATATAGTGAAAGCTTTAGACCAAGCTTTAAGCTGACACAGTAATTGGTTCTATTGTTGGTCTTTGAGGATATAATTTTGTAGGCCTTTATATCTAGAATCTGATGTATTTGATCTGCTTTCTATTGTCAGTATTTCTCTAGCTTATTCCATGCTTGAGACGTCGGCAAACAGAGCTCTTATTAGCTTGATTATGATGTTGATGGACAAAAAGAGATAAATCTCTGTGGGAATATGAAAGAGTATAATATCTTGATGTTGAAATGTGGAAGAGTGGCACTGAGCTTGATAGGGTCCGAGAAACAAATTTAGAACAACAAAGAAGAAAACCAGGGTGGTTACTGAAACCTTGTTAAGAATATTCAGGAGAAGGTCCTGTATGTGCTGCATAACTTTAGCATGCATTTACAAGAGTTATATGCGAATAAGATGATAACAACTCAAACAGTCGCAAATAATGGTTAAATGTGATTTATGAGCACATTTGCTAATCTTCTGTAATATAAAGAAACTGTGAAGCACAAGTGTTGTGTGTATGTTTGATGCACAGTGATGTCATGAAAGAGCATTTATGTAGCTAGAGCTGAACTTAATTGACCTCCAATAGCAAGTTATGCAAGTTTTCAAGATTCGGAAAGATAAAAAAAACAGCATAGTATATATTTTCTATATCCCTTTGTTATAGAGGACTATCTGTAGCCTCCATTAGTCAAACTCTTTTGTGTTTGTTCTTTATCTGGTTTATAGCCAATTCCTCTGTATACTCAGAACCCATGTTTATTTTGTCTATTGAGAATTGGAAGCTTCTTATTCATATTGATGTCTGTCTGAGGAACCTTTCAAGTCAGCATTGTCAAGGAAATGAGTTATTACTTTGTTTAGGTCGGCTATTAAAGAAAGATGTCGTAAGATAAGCCTGCCTTTTGTTGTGCATAGTGGTTTCGAAGTGTTAGAATTGGTTGGCAGTCCAATGGGGAAGAAACCACTTGAGTGTGACCTGGTCCCTCCAAGACTCAAGTTAGCATGTAATCTTGCTGGCTTGTTTTGCCTATCTATGATCTGGAGTTCCTTACTGGTTGTGGTTAGCAAAATATTTTCCAAATTATTCCTAATTTAGGATGATGTGATAAATCTTGCTGGCTTGTTTTGCCTTTTTTTTTTCCAAATTATTCCTATCTATGCCTTTTTTTTATGTGATAATTTATGATGGAGTTGGAACCTATCTATGATCTGGAGTTCCTTACTGGTTGTGGTTAGCAAAATATTTTCCAAATTATTCCTAATTTATGATGATGTGATAAATCTTGCTGGCTTGTTTTGCCTTTTTATGTTTTTGATGGATTGTGAAATTTGGGTTGGATGGAGAGACTCTTGTAAATTTTACAATATAGAACTTGATTTTAGCCATCAATACTTTATTCCTATGCAGATAAAGTTCAGCTTGCAATGTTATAATCTCAGTTGAGATCTGGCTCTCCTGAAACCAAGTATATTCTTGCAAAAATCAGTGAAAATGTTTGATTTTTCCGGTTCACTAGTAAATTTGTTCACCTTTATTCACTCACTTATAGCTTCTGTCTTTACACTAATATTTTTGTGTGTTCTCAATAGAAATCATAAAGCCTCACGTTTGGTTAAGATCGATTTCAACTCGCTATATTGGCTTGCAAGGAATGGATGTGTTGTCCATTTTGCTGTAGGAATTATTTACTCATAATGATCGCTCAGGTTTCTCAGTCGACATGCTTGTGATCGATACGGCATGGTGTTCTGCATTATGTGGCTCTACAGGTGCACCTATGTCATCATAAATTTCTATCATCAAATGATAGCTTAACCAAACATTTTCTCGCCTATTTCCAATACTGTCTCTCTCTCTCTCCTGTGGATGTTATTTTCCAACGAAACACAGCAGGGATGTTATGAAACAGCCATTCACAAGAGCTACTACTCGCATTTCGATTCCAAGAACTCTGAAGTCTTCCCACTCAGATCTCATACCTCAGAACTGAGGCAAAACGGATCAATTAATGACACAAGAGATGAACTCACTGGCAAGATTAAGCAATCATCGCCATTTCATTTGCATGATAATCACATTTTCAAACAATCACTTGATATATAAATTTTGTGATAAGATCGAATCTTTACCATTTGGAAAAAAAACATTATGATCAGGATTCTGAGTCACAAAAATAAACAGCATATATCATTCGTAAACTTGCAGATGTATGTAAGATTTATAGTCACGACAACAACTAACATGCTACTATTAAAACTTGCAGATTGACACAGACTATCTGCAATTAGAGAACTGTCTGTGGTAATTGAAATGAAGCAACTGTTCAATCCAGAGGGATGACATAGGGAAGAAACACTTAAATCAGTCACCAAACAGACACCACAACAAATGTACAGGTCGGTGTTTCATGAATGATGGTACCCTGCAGTTCTTTGGAACTCAAGAAGCCCTCTTGCTTTTGTACCTATTAGCACAGGCAACATATATCAAAAGATTCAAGAAGCTCAGCCCCGTGAGCAGCCAGAAGTAGTAGTCGAGGTGCCCTTCGTTCAAGTTATCGGGAATCCATCCTGTCCTCCCTCCTCGAGTTGTTACCGATGTCACGACAGTCAAGATGAAGGAACTCAGGTAGTTCCCCAGCGCAGTGGTAAGAAGTGATAACGCACTGCACAGACTTCTCATAGCATCAGGAGACTGATCATAGAAGAACTCCAGTGACCCAATGAATGTGAATACTTCCGCTGCTCCGACCAAAAAGTATTGAGGTGTCTGCCAAAAGATGCTTAATGGAATGGCCACTTTCTCGGACACTAAACCTTCCGCCTTGGCAATGTCAAGTCGCCTGATCTCCACCACTGCAGCTGCTGCCATTGCTAGTATAGATATGAACAGGCCAATACCCATCCTTTGCAATTCTGAAAAACCTCTCTCCTTGCCTGTGAATCTCCTTGCCACCGGAACAAGAATTCTATCATAGATTGGCACCCACACAATGACACTGATGACATCAAAGGTTGATAGAGATGCAGGTGGAATGGTGAAGGAGCCTATACTCGTGTCCATGACCATCCCTTGTTCGACAAACATAGTAGATATCTGTGCATATACTGCAGAGAACACTATGGTGGTTGCCCAAACAGGGAACATCCTCACCAGAATCTTCAGTTCTTCCACCTGAGTGACTGTACACAACCGCCATGGGTTCGAAAAACTTTCAGTCTTTGTATCGAGATCCGTCACTGTAGCAGCCTTGTCAAGGAACCTGCAAAAGATAATAGTTACACATAATCCAATATCATGCACACTAGGAATCAGCACAGTTAATGGCATATGAAAATAAGCAGGAGATAATTTCTGAAAAAAAAACTAGTTTCTATAATATCAGAGTTGGTCTTTAGTATTACTACTATGAACAGTAATATCTCATCTCACAAAATGGCTTAACCTACTATCGCCGTGGGGTGCTCTTGACAAACATCCTGTAACGTACACCACATTGCTTCTGACACAAACATATTTCATTACCCAACTATATGATAGAATTATCATAGAGCCCACCAGTCTTAAGAGAGTATTCAAGTATTGAAATCCATTAAGCACTTTCTTAAGAGAGTATTCAAGTATTGAAATCCATTAAGCACTAGGCACGATATAATTGAAGCTGAAACTTCATAAGTTAATTTCTCATCGAGGCAATATCAGTTTGATGCAAGATTTATTGGACAACTTGTCACTCAGCAACCTTGTCTACCAGTTGAAGCATCATCAAGGAGATATTTTATCATTAATATATCATCTAGTACATATAAACCTAAAGGAAAGTCCAGATTTAAGCAACACTTTTCACTGATAAAAATTTTACCAATCTGCAACTTAAAAAATGCTGTCGTACAAAAGGATCCACATTGCAGTTTTACAACTGATTAACCACTGAAAACATAGAACTCCTAGGATAACAAGAGAAGAAAGACAATAGAACTTCAAAAGCAGATTGGCATTCAAGTCTTGTGGATAAATTCGGTTCTTGATTTAGTTCTTTGAAGAACTATAGCAAATGAAGCATGAAATCAAGAATCAATCAAGATATGCATAAAGAAACCTCAACGAAACTGGTTGCGGAAGTTAAGAGAATTACTTAATTTCATCTGTGTGCTCCAGCTTTCGACTTCCTTTAATTGCTGAAGCCTTCTCAGGCACTTCATATAGGAGACAACTGTCATGAGGCACATCCACTTTCCACTTGCGAAAAGAGGCAACCACCACCTGGCACATTCTTATAAGAGGGCTTCCTCCTGGTTTTTGGAATCTATAAAGTGGAGTACCAAAGAAAAAACTAATTATAGCTAATCCCATAAACAATGTAGGAATTCCAAAGCCCAAGCCCCATCCACAATTGTCTTGCACCCAAACTAGAAAGCTGCTGGATATGAGAGCACCAATGTTAATAGAGAAGTAAAACCAATTAAAAAAGGATCCCTTCTTCATTCGCTCTCTCGGATCAGTATCATCAAATTGGTCAGCTCCAAACGAAGAAACACAAGGTTTAATTCCACCGGTCCCCAGTGCAATTAGATAGAGTCCAAAAAAGAAAATAGCATATTGAACTGCACTTGCTTCTGGGCAAACAGATTCAACACATGGTGAAGGCTTAAAAGCAGGAACTGATGCTGAAAGGGTCAATGTGGCCATTCCCTACATTTAATAAAGCATCAATGATCATATTACATTTGAACAAAAGAAAAGAGCATCCACTCATTACAGTAAAGAACATCTGCAACTAGCATACTTACAACAAAGTATATAGTTGAGAACACTGCAATTGTCCAGTATCTTCCCCAGTATGCATCAGCTAAAATTGCACCAAGCAATGGCGTAATATAGCAGGTTCCTTGCCATGTTGTGACATTTCGTGCAGCAGAGGCATTCCCCTCATGTAGCTTGTTCTTTAGGTAAGTGACAAGATTTGTAGCTATTCCATAGTAAGCTAAACGTTCACAACATTCATTCCCTATAATTTGTAATGTGAAAATAAGGAATGATTTAATGCATCTCAGTTAGAGAAAAGGATTAAACTTGTCTGTGGTTAGTTATTGTGAATACCTAAAATGAAAGGGCATGCTCTCCAATTGCCTGTGCTGTTCTTTAAAACGGGGTTTCCATGAATGTCGACAGATCCATCTCCAGTATATTGTCCTTGATTTTCATTCTACAAATACAGAAATAGTAGCAAATGTAATGGAGATGTAAGGCCATATGAAGGTCATGCAATCATGGAATATATAAGCCCAGATATCTAGGCCAAAAATAGATGACCATTACAGTCAATATAATGCTGATCAACCCAGTTGTATGTTCACCAAACTGACACAAAAAATAACTATCATTCATAAAATGGTCATTTGTACTCCCTTAATTAATAAATGGAATGATTACCTTGAATCTAAGAAATTGTTATACAAATTTGAACATATTTTGGTACTTCCATACTGTTAATCAAATCAAAATACTCCAGGCTGCTAAAATTGCTTACTTTTTTCCTCCACTTGAGGTACATGTTAAAATATTTAAAATGTTTCAAAAATTGAATAACGAATCATGTTTAATGGAGCTGATACTTAATTTGGAACCTTTTTTTCCAATTGCATCATACTTGAAAACTGATACGAGCAAACAGCTTCACAATACAAGAACATCAACAACAAGCTGTAACATCCCAACAAATAACTTGAATGATTCATCCGCTCCATTCAGTTTAATTTTAAACCAAATTCTGTCATTAAATATGCATTCTTAGATCTTAAGTTGGTTGAGGCATTCTTGGTTATCTAAGCATAAAATTGATATAATCAAAGGTATATGGAAAAGTTTACCATATCTCAAAATATTTCAGACCTCGAAAAATGTGGCAAGTCATACATACAAACAAAATTTAGAAGAAAAATGACTGAGCTCCCTTTATCAGAGTTGTAGCTATGGTCTGCAGCATGCAGTGACGAACACCGGTATTGCCCATTGAATATTACCAATTCCAAGATTCCAGAAAACAGAAAAAGAAAGTCTCTGCAATTTATAAGATTCGAGAACATAGGGAAGTTGTCTCATCTGATTGAAATAACATGTGAGTACTATTCTTCTGCAAACTCCTTTGAATAGCTAGCATTATATGATGCTAGAACCAATCTACACAACCAAACCGTAATTCCAAGTTGAAGGTCCAATTGAGCACCATCTGAAACTAATATTTCATACAAAATCTACAAATACTGCAGAAGAAGAGAACTTTGTTCTTGTCAAGTATGATTAGTTTTGCAAAGGAAGCAATCTCATTCCCTTGTGCCACAAATAAGTTGCTCATTCCATTCTATCCGCTATCATATTATATATCTAATTCTTCGGAAGGGCATATCCCTATTTCTTTCTTATTTAAAATCCTTAAGAAACAATGTTGAGTGAGAGTGAAGCACCAACAAGATTTTGGAGTTACGAAAGAATCATCGACAACAAAATTATCAATTTCCATAGAAATACCAACAAGTCAAGCATAGCGCATAACCGAAAATTCATATATTTGGCCAATCTGTTTCCTAACCTAAATCAAATATGGCATTAAGTCAAACGGCAAATTTACTAAGAAACACATAAACCACCGTACTGTAATGGTAGAGACCTAAACCAATGTCAAAAACCTATCTTTTTTCCCCCAAGTAACCAAAATTTCCTCGTAGGCATAATCAACTCGTCAAAGATATCTAATTGAAGAATCACGACAGAAAAATCACTGCTCCACAAAAAATCCATCAATAACCTTGACGAATTCAGCAACTAGGAAGCCAAATATTCAGGAAAAATTGAAAGATAAACAAATTTAAGGTATTCTAATGGAGATCAAGGAAGGGGAAAGGGGGGAATCGGACCTCCGGAAGAAGACCTTCTTCCAGCGGCGACCTCCGTTCGTCTTCCACGGATCCCATCCTGCGATGTCTCACAGATTCCGGATTCAAGGATCCAGGGCTGGGGGCCTAACCGGATTTAATAGCGACGCAAGGGAGATGAGGACAAGACCGCCTCCGGTTGCGTTGCGTGTTGGGGCTAGAAATGGAGATCGAAGTCCCTTGCACCTGACCACGTTCACCCACCGTCACACCACTTGCCATCCGTGACAAAGTTCCACCGCGGCCCACTATTGGAGGCGATTGGGTTAGCGCGATTGTCGTTTGCCGTAAAAGGGGGCGAAAGTGGACCGCCGTGGCGTCATCCGACGGCAGGATTCGACTCTCAGACTGCTCCGGCGGATGCGTTATCATCCCACGACAGCTGCTTTTTTGGGGGTGAGTTGTGACTGTAAATAGTTAGCTATTTTATGATTGCACCGACCTGTGGGGTCCATAAATAACGCTCGTGTGATAGAGATTTCAAGTCTTGGTAGGTAGCCGAGACGGGTAGAAAAAAGTTGTAAATGGCTTTTGGTGCCTTAAAAGTCGCGTCAAAACAAGTTGTGGACTTATCCGGTCCGTCCATCTCATCATGACATCATTGAGGTAAAATACTTGTCAATAAGTCCTACTTGTGGTCTTAGCATTTGACCATAGAAGAAGTGGATATAATAAGATTAGCAGTGTTCTACTTTTGCTGTATATACATATATAAATTATTATTATTATTATTTTACTTTTTCAATTCTTTCTTTTTCCCACTCTATCCTACCATTTCAATGTCTCATCATTGAGGTTATATTATTTTAATAAGCTCTGTTTTTTAAATTGATATTTTAATTGATAAAGTTGGAATTGTTCATACTTAATTGATAAAGGAGATAGAGATAGGCATTAATAGGGGTTGAAAGATCTATTAAAAAATATTATCCAATAAATTATTCTATAAATTGAAGGTAATCAAGTGGTGCTAGGAAGATTATCATCCAAAATAATTTTCACAAATTTAGATCTTGATTTTGTTGTATACCTTATTAATGTGATTACCTAGGATTTGATTATTCTTTTTCTTATAGCTATTGTGACTAAGTGTATATAAGAACTTTAACTTAGCTCACTATAATATATGTTTTCATCTTTTGTCCATTTTTTATAATCTTTAATATAATTTCTCTAATATTTTTTTGACTATTCTCTCTATAATTTTTATTACTAATCAATCTATTCTAGATGCGCATGTATGGGAACCTTATAGATTCATCTCTAATCAGACAGGGATGAAAGATATTTTCTATTATTTACATAATTATGAGGCGAGATGTTTAGAGCATTCCTCATCTATCCTCATCAAGTTTATATTACTATATTATATATATATATATATATATATATATATTTGAGATATGTCTTTTTTTGCATACTCGAGTTTTAATTATAATGGATCTTCTTCTATCATTGCAATGTTTCCTTATCAAACGACGTAGTGACAATTGTGTTCATCTTCATCGTTTAGTGAGTACTTAGTATCTCTCTCTTTCTTCTTCTCATCTTTTTTTTTTTTTCTCTCTTTCTTCTTCTCATCTTTTTTTTTTTTTTTTCGTCTTACCTCCCCCACCTCATTGCAACCCCCGCTTTTCAAATTCCTCCTCCCTCTTCTCCCTTTCATCATAGCTCTTGTTTTCTTATTTGTATAGTATCTATCTTACAAGGATATATAAGCAGAGAAATGAAAAAGTAAAATTAATAAAGAAAATTATTAATTCATACATTTATTTGAATATAATTATATTTATTTGGTTATGATTATATTTGGATACTGTAATAACATGTAATCATTATAATTATCCTTTTGTAGGAAATTTAAAAGAAAATACTAATATTGTTTGTCAATTTTGCAAGAAGGGTAGTCATACCAGTAGACAATGTTTAACTGTTAAAAGACTTAATCACACCATGACAAGTGGTAGCTTTATTTTATCTCAAACTGGGTTGATGAACTTTAGAACTTCCTATCATGTGAATATTCACTAATGACATTATTATGGGTGATGGTTTAGGTCTACACATCACACATATTGATAATTCTACTCTCTCCACTTGTTTAAATTCATTTTCAGTTCATTGCATGAAATAAAATTTTATAAGACACCAACTCAGTTGATTTTTTCTTTTGTTTTTTTTATCTAATGATGGGGGTTACTTGATGCATATGAGTGGCCCAGCAATGATGGAGTCTACAATGATGAAAAAGAAAGTTTGTTTTGGAATTAAAACCTCATGCAATCATTGGCATGATCAAAAGTACTCTTATTATATTCTATCTCAAATTAATCTTCCTATTCTCATGAGTATGTCCAAAATTTTATTTTGTAATTCTTGTAATTCAGATAAAAATCACAAACTATCTATCTTTGGTGTCTCAACTTTAGAAAGTCATGGTTCTTTAGATTTCATCTATTCTTATGTTTGGGGTGGTACTCTAATTAACCTTACTTGGTTAACCTTCTTGTATTGCATACTGAAGTACATCTTGTGGTATGACTTACTTGGTTAACCTTCTTGTCTTCTTTGTGATAATTTTGGTATGACTTACTTATGTGGTATTCTATTCTTATATGAAGTGTATCGTCCCCGATTATTATTTTGTTTGACATAAGATTACCATTGGTTCTCTTCAAATTGCTCGTGTGTCCAAACACAATCAAGTTGTTGACATTATTACAAAACCTAAATCTTAGCTCTTACGGTTAGGATCCAAGATTGGTATTTCTACAAGAAGCATCTTGTGGGGATATATTAAGAAAGAATCTTCTCCAATAAATCATTCTATAAATTCAAGGCAATCAATTCGTGTTAGGAAAGATTCTCATCCAGAATCATTCCCATTTAGATCCTTGATTTAGTTGTATACCTTATTAATATAATTATCTTGTTTTGGGTATTTGATTATTCTTTTTCTTATATATATATATATATATATATATATATATATATATATATATGTGTGTGTGTGTGTGTGTGTGTGAGAGAGAGAGAGAGAGAGAGAGAGAGAGAGAGAGAGAGAGAGAGAGAGGCAATCAATTCGTGTTAGGAAAGATTCTCATCCAGAATCATTCCCATTTAGATCCTTGATTTAGTTGTATACCTTATTAATATAATAATCTAGTTTTGGGTATTTAAGTATTCTTTTTCTTAGTGTGTGTGTGTGTGTGTGTGTGTGTCATATATCAAATATTGATATATCAAATAAGAAAAGAGAAACGGGTGGGAGAACAAAAATATTCATATATCTAATTGATTCGAATCGCCCTTAACCTTGTTTAGTCATGTCGAAGTTGATGAATGTCATATGTTCATGAGATCCAGAGTTGCTTTTTCCGTAGTATCGAGGGCAAGCAAACTTCTTGAGCGACTCTTTTTGTGGCATGCTATTTGTGGGATTTCAATGGCTCTATGTAGCGTAGATAGAATACATTATGTACATGTTCTTTAGATCGTCCAACTCTTATCGTAAAAGAGCAATCTTATGGTTGATGAGCAATTGTTGATTAGGAAGAGCAGTGTACTTACTACCTCTCTCATGCCACTTTCTTTCTTCATATATTGTCAAAGAAGATGGAAGGACTGGCTTCAACAAATCATTTTATGGCAAATAAACAGGAGGAAAGGAGATGAACAGACCATGCACATTAACAGCATTTGCCAACTCCAAACCCTAAGGGAGGCAGAAAGGAGGAATTATAATGACAAACTTTCCATCCTTCGGCCTCTTATCAAAAGATTATTCTTCGATAAGGTCTTAGCTTCCACACAGCCAGTGTCTTAAGAAGATGATAAAGCTCTAGAATGATGTGTTCTAGTCATGTAAACTCCCAAGTCAATGAATGACTTTGTAGCAAGATTTTGGTTCTCTTTTGATTTGAGAATACTTTTCCAATGTTAGAGAGGTCTGTTATAATGATTAAGCTGTTCATCATAGTGGTTTTGTTTATCTATTTAATCTGAACTAATATTACACCAAGATTATTAGATAGGAAAGCCAAGGCACTTCTCTCTCTCTCTCTCTCTCTCTATATATATATATATATATAAATAAACCCAACTTGCAGGGTAATCGAATTCACACACTTATCATTACATTACAGAATCTTAAACTACCTTCTACCAAGTAGCAAATCACCTCTTCCTACTGCTAAAATACTGATTCTGATCTTAAGACTCTAAGCTACTCTCCTAGGTAATAGTATGCTGTTTCAAGTTCTTCCTCAGCAGACCTGGTAATAGTTGACTAATTCCTGTTACTAATAAGATAAGTACTTGATTTATGGAATGATTGGACTTGATGACAATAACCAAGGAAACTCTCCACCTGCCAGGACTACATAGTGTTCTTGCTTCTTCAACTAGTGGTTCACAGGTCAACTACCAAGTGCCATGATAGAATCTAAATGGTGCTCTAAAACTTCAGTTCCTAAGTTTCAAGGACAACCTCAGTTGCTTTTTCATTTTGTAATAGACAAAAGTATAAAATCAAAAGTGATGTGGGTGTCAGAAACCATTGTAGGAAGAGTTCACATGACAATCTAGACATTGATCTATCTCTTTGTCAAAAACATAAGAAAACATGCTCTCAAGTCATTGCTACAGATCAATGTAGAAGAAAATTTTACAATACAACAGTGAATTATCCAATAATGTACTACTGATTTAGAGTAGGTTAAACAAAATATGAGCACTCAACCAAGCAATGGAGTGAGCAAAGGGGAAAATAATTTATTTTAAGTTCTTTGTTCAATTGCATCATATTTGGCCCTGTCATGCCTTCCAGTCAGCTTGTGAAACACTGACATCAATGCTTAATCATATCGATCACCTTAGACAGCTTAATTACTCCCACACAAAGGTTATAATTTTTTTTCTGAAGTTTCTCTGGACTATTATTATCCTTTGTTTCACGGGTTTGCGACGCGTGTTCAATTACGTTACTTAGGTTTTACTCTAAGGCAGATTTTCAAGTGCCACTTGTGTCATTGTTTTATCCTGAACAATGAAAGAGTTGGTGGTGAAAGAGTCAGCAAACACTTTCCCCGCTGCACTGCTACCTTTAGTGTTCTTCAAGAATTCATGCTTTCTTCCTCAGTCATTCATTTTGCGAGGATTCATTCAACATGCTTGTTACCATCAACATAAGAGTCACTATCTAGTTGCTCTTATAACCTTCTTGACTTCCAACAAGATATGGTTCTTATTTTCAACTATACCTCATAGTAAAGGTAGATCATCTTTAGTGCTAGCTTTACTTCACATCTACGTTTGTTTCTTAAGTCTTACATTTCTGTATCAAATCATGTAAAATTCGTATGACACAAACATGATGCACTCTGCTGTTTGAGATCTTAAAAGATAATTGGCAACTTCTGATATTGAATGTTTATGTTGGAAATCATGGTGCAAAGTGGAAAACATAAATGTGTTTAGATTCCATTTAGTCAATTGATGTATACAACTGTTCTTTTACAATATACTAGTTATCATTCAAAAAGATCTCTTCACCTTATCCACCTTGGGCTTTCTTTTGTCTAATTTCTAAGCAAGAAATCAATATCATGTAGGTTGCCAAAATTGAATAAAAATAGGTTGGAAAAAAAAAAGAAGTTTTTATATCGATCTTTTTTCAAAAAGGGAGAAGAATTATCCATAAAATTCTTCAGCTCATCCACCAATTTTTTTGTTTTAGTTAGGAAATCAATATCATAAAACTGGATAGGTGTTTGATATATAAGTTATTTCAAGAAAGACCACAATCATAAAGACTTTATTAAGTTCCTCAAAAAAAAACAAAAAGCTTATCAAGAATTGAAGAGTAGCTAATTACCCAAATGAAGAAGAAGCACAAGGAAAGATATGATTATTACAGCAACTGTTTATCACCTCATTACTCTCCTTTTTTGCATTTAGTTAATCTCAATAGGGGTAGGATCAAGACTTGAGTGAGAAGTTTGGATACCTGTATGCAGAAATTTCTACTTGCAAATCTTGTTGATAACAAGGTATCCTGGAACTTCCAATTCAATGGTTTGATTGAAGCTGGTAAGTCAAAAGTATCTCTTCTGAATGCAAGCTAAAAGATGGTGTGAGATCGATCAGGCAAGGAGGTTGTGTTGGAGATGGAATACAGATAGAAAGTGCATTTTCCTCGGCTATGTCACGTCATGAGTGAGCACAGCCGAGGATTTTAGAGTGTGAATAATTCTGTGGAATGCTTTCCCCTTAAGTATGGTTTGATGTGAAGAAAAATGAAAACACATGGTTAGGTACCATGCCACTGTTTTCATGAACTAAGAACTAACCTAGCTTTCAAAAAGGTTGGAAGTAGTTTTCTGAGAGTTTGGAGTATAACATGACTTCCAAAGCCAGAAACCACAAGATTCCTGTCCAAATCTAGAGCTTCACCATCAGGGCCAAATTTTGAATGGCATTAAGTATTTCTCTGTATGAGCAGTATGATAGTTTCCTTTTCCTAAAAGAAAGGAGGAATATGAAGAAATTTACTACCATCCTCAGCAGATCTTTGTTCTCTTGTGTGCAGTGTTCCTGCATGCCTGACTTAGGGGATTGCACCTACAAAAACACATCATTTTTCATCAAGGAAGTGAAAATGAAATTAAATGTTTTGGTCTGCATCTGAACTCCTCGAGAGAAGATGAAGATGAAGATGAAGATGACGTAACAATTACACACTGATGATTCAACCCAAGAAGAAATGTGTTCTTTCCAAGTTGCCATTTGAAGTGTGTAAACTAGATTATAGTTCATATTTGTGTTGTGGGTGATGTAATGGCTTGTTTTTCTTGCTTTCAGTTGCTTTCCTTCACTCTCCTCTCTCCAGTCTCTGTATTATCTTCATTTCTTTTCAAATGAAGGCACTTTATGATCAATAATCTATACATATATCTGATCCAAGAGAATCTCTACACAGATTGGCACATATAAACTAGGAAGAAAGCTAAACTAAATTCCTTAACTTTGCTAAAAACCACACAACTAATGAATTTAATTCCTTAATAAACTAATTTTTTTTGGATTAATTTATATTAAACCTATTGTATAGGCTAACATGAAAAGCCAGTTATGGTATTATACTGTATGCATACAGAAATGGAGAGAGATGGGCGGGTTTCAAGTAGAAGTTGTAGGTCAGAAACATTGGAGAGATGTTGAAAGGGGAACAGAACTACTTCACCAAACCACCCCACAATCTCTCTCTCTCTCTCTCATGCTTAGGCCACACGTACCGTCAATCTGTGGTGCAAGTGTAACTATCTCTTAATTGTATGTCTTCTCTCTCGCTAACGAGAAAGCCTCTTTCCTCTTTGTATCTGTCCTTATATCTTTCCTCTCCATCTCTTCTCTTACATTTAGCTTCTCTGAGCTTTCTGCTTCTTCGGTCGTAGCTATCTTTTCCTGTAGAGATCTCGTAGAGAAAGCTCAGCAGGGGTTATCTTTTCCTGTCACCCTTGTGGACAGTGATTTGAAGATAGGATGTGCAGTAGAGGGCACTGGAGGCCGGAGGAAGACGAGAAGCTGAAGGAGTTGGTCAGTAGGTTTGGTCCTCACAACTGGAACGCCATCGCAGAGAAGCTTCAAGGAAGATCAGGTGCAAGCATAGTTTAGATTCCTTCCTTTTCGTTTTTTTATCTCCAAAGTCTTGTCTTCCGGTCCCGAATTGAGTGTTACTAACACATGTCGAGTAAAATCTCCTTCAGGTAAAAGCTGTAGGCTCAGATGGTTCAATCAGCTGGATCCAAGGATCAACCGCAGCCCCTTCACGGAGGAGGAAGAAGAACGGCTCCTCGCTTCGCACCGCGTTCACGGCAACCGCTGGGCGGCCATCGCCAGGCTCTTCCCTGGTCGTACCGACAACGCAGTGAAGAACCACTGGCATGTGATCATGGCTCGTCGGCATCGAAAAGCTACTGCCAAAAGCATATATACAGCCACAGCCAGATCAACAGAAGCCAAGGACAAGGGATCAGAGTCGAGGCATATATACAACCACCTTAAGTTACTGCCAAAAGCATTCTTCTCCGACCTCCATGATCATATTCCCCAGATGGCCAAAGGTAACTGAGTACATGTATAGTTCTTCCATTCAATGACTCTTTTCGCCATCTTCATCTTCCGATGTTGTTGCAGATGGAGAGAGTTCAACTGAGTTCTATGATTTTCTTCAAGTAAACACCGAGTCTGATGGTGCTAAATGTCATTCAAGTGTAGAGGAACAGGAGGAGGAGGAGGAGGAGGAGGCTGAGGAGGAATGGAGAAAAGCTGGTGTTCCCTTCATAGATTTCTTGTAAGTCAGAAGTTCTCCCTAAGATATCTTATCTAGCAACAGTTATAGTGTACAAAAAATATTTTACATCCTTGATCTCACTAATATAATTCCATGTCTGTTCATGATATCATTTAGTAGTAGAGATATGAAGACTCTCTACCAGTAATAAAATCATGTAGCATGCATAGATCTTATGTAATATATCGAATTCTTAAGTAATAAGCTGGCATGTTGACATCATGCCCTTGTTTCAGAACTACCAAGGCAAAGCTTAAATGGATTGATCTAATGATCAAAACCTTGTAAATTGTGCATATGTTTCACTGAGAAATTAAAAGTGTTACTTGTAATATTATCATCCTGTACACTCTCTATCTTGGTAAGTCTCTCAAGAATACATATATATATATATATATATATTGTGCCAATTCTTGTTTGACATCAATGAGCACACAACAACTGTGTCTGCTATGTTGAGATTCTTGATAAGAATGAAGTCAAATCTTCAGACTAACTAAAGGAGAAATCTTTCTTGTTTGTTTACCTTGTGGGTGGCTATTGTGTTGACATGGTTGGGACCATTGCACTCCACTAATGGAAATGTTCTTGTTTCATTGAGATTTCCCACATTCCAAAGGAATAAAAGTGACACAGTAACAGTGCCTGTAGAAAGGATTAATCTGGCATGCTATCACGATTAAGGATTAATGAGTAAGCAACGACTTCATGATGAGACATTTAACAACCTAGGCATTTAGTGATTATGAAGCAAGAACAGATTAATCCTCTATTAATCTATTCTTTGTTCTATTACCAGTTTCGGTCGAAATAATTCCCAGCAATAAGAGATCAAGGCATAATCTATATCGAGACGATCATCCTCTTTAAGCGATTCGTATTATCAGCTTGCAGAACATAATTCTCACTTCCATATTTTTTTAAATCTTGAACCAATTAAGAATACTCAGTATTTTTCTATATATGTATATATGTACGTATGTATGATATAAATATTCCTCAACAAATATTGGTACCATCTTATTATCATTCCTAGTAACTTTACATATCTACTTCAATATTTTTATCTTATCGAACAAATTTTTATATATTTTAAGAAATCTAGATAAATAAATATAAAATAAAAAATATATTAATAACTAAATAATCTACCCATATGTCGAATCCCTATAAGTTTCAATATTTTACGAGTCAATAGTAATTAAAACTTAATCTCTAAATGATATTAATATTTTATAATACTAATCAAGCTTAAACTTCATCAAATTTATATCAACATGAACTTAACAGGAACACCATTAGTAGTAGTTAACAACTAATACAATATCAATGCTGATATAGTTATTTTTTTTCCTCAAATCCCTCTTGTCTTGTTAATAGTGACATAGTAATATGCCACTATAATCAAGTCTTGGAAATCATTAGATCATTGTTAGGATGATATGACCCATCATAATCCAATAAAATTAGGATCTTTGTTATGCTCTTAGACCACTTGGTTGAAATAGACTTAATGGATTGAGCATTTTCAAGAGCTATGGAATGGCTTGTTATGGTGATCACAAAACTGGTCATCATTCTGATGATTCCAAACAAGACAAAAAGAGTTAGTAATTAGTCTTCATAATTTACAGACTGCTAAAATGTCCATAAGCCTCCAATAACTAATCTCCTTAAGACCAATTGGCAAATACATTCAATTGAATCTTCAGCTTTATAAATTCCAAGGACTCATCTGTTGTATTATTAGATGCATTAGGTGTTCAACCCTTACAGGAAAGAGTTGAATTGATTCTCAATCTTAATCTTCTCTTCTAATGCTTCATAAAGTTTTCTCTGTGAATGATTTCAACCCTTACAGGAAAGTTTTCTCAATCTTAATCTTCTCTTCTAATGCTTCCAAAGTGTTTTGTGTCTATCCAAAATATAACACCTATAACCACACATTATGATGGTTGGAATTCATTTGTACATAAGTAATCCCACTTTGAAGAGATAACAAGTCTTACCTCAGAGAGAGAGAGAGAGAGAGAGAGTAGACCTCAAACACTTGCAGGCCTGGTTGGAGTAGTTCACAAGTAAACGAGAACCATGATTTAGAGAAGAATCTACCAAGCAGTATGATCAACAATGATATGAAAGCAAAAGTGCTCGACTTTGGAATTCAGGTGCATGCTTCAAGGAAACTTTGAAGAGACAAGTGTTGGGATTCTTGTGTGAAGAAAGAGTAATCCTACATTTGAAAGATGGAAAAATGAAGAGCTTCTTTGTGTGCTTGAGGTATGATCACAATTTTCCTTGTGATGAATACATAAGTGACAGCTTTCTATGAACATGGTTCAACTTAAATATAAAAAATAACTAATTTTGAGGGTATACATATATAATAATTTTGTCATTTTAATGTATTAAGTCCTATATTTTTGAAATAATTAAAATATTTTTTTAATTTATTGTAAATAAATATTAATTATAGTCCCTATGTATTGCATTAAGTATGGTCTAATTTTGTTTAAATTTGTGAAGTTTATACATGATAACATCCGTAGTTGTATGATATATTTCAGATGTAAGTTTTGCCCGGTCGATATTAACTATTTAACATATCTTGATCAGAATTAAAATCCATTTAAATATATTTTTATTTGTTGATTTCTCGATAAAAGTCCATTTTTTGAATTTTTCTTGGGATAGTGTTCCTAATTTCCAAATGCATAAAGAGAGATGCTATTTTAAGAAAAATAAAAATACCTTCCCTTAACAGCTTAAAGTTTGAGTTTTCCATGGAAAATGAGTTTTGAGTCTAAATTCAATTAGATTGAACCAGTCAAGCCAATCCTATGTTAAACTGAACTAGTTATAATATTTTTTTAATAAGGTTATTGTATTTTTCCTTTAACTAAATTGGTTAGTTTTCTTCTAAATAAGGTTACAATATTATTACTCTATTCAATTCAAAAATATCTTAATTAATTTAAATTATCAAAAATATTAATGTAATCTTAAAATTAAGCCTATAATTTTTGAAGAATATTATAAGGGCAAATTCTCGACCATAGCTTTAATAAATTCTCGTATAGCCCTGCCTTCATCGCACCAATTATCACCCTCGCCCCTCCTTGTTATCTCTGTGCACAAACCCTCCACGCTCTTCCCATCCTCCTCTATCATCGTTAACGATGATCTACGTGTTATCACCCTCGTTGTTATCACTTGTGATCACCTCTGCCCCAATACCCATGTAGTTTTATGATCAACCGCCTCTACCACTATCACACCCCACCTATGTTCGCTACCTCCTTGTGCGATCCCCCTACTCTCCGCTTGCCACTCTCATTCCACTCTCCTCTATCGTTATACATGAAAATATATGGACCCTTACCCCTAGTCGCCTTTGTCATCACCTAAGAGGAGGGGGTACTAGGCCAGGGCATGTGGGCCGCTCGTCATCTCCATCATCCATATTATTTTTCATAAATAATAATTTTTTTAGAATTTTCTCATACTATAATAATTTGTATTTATTAAAAAAAATGATAAAAAATTATAAGGGTCTTGATGTATTTTAAAATAAAACATAATAAAAATTATATTTTTCCACTTTATCTTAAAATTTAGGTATAATATTTTTAAAAAATATTATAATAATCTATTATAAAGGAATGATAATAAAGTTATAGTATTTATGGTTTATTAATAAAAATAATAATACTATAATAAAAATATATTATAAAATAAAAGATTCTGTGATTTTATTCAAAACTATTGTAATATTAGAAAGCAAAATTTTGATAAAAAAATTTTTTGTTAAAGAGTATTTTGATATTTTTATAAAGAAATAAAAACTTCTAATTTTGATTTTTTTTTTTATTCTCTTCAAACCATTTGTCATACGAACGGACATAACATAAATAGTAGATATATTATAATAGCAGACGAGCAACGCGAATCCACGAATTCTATCCACAGACGACTCACAATACGCTGTTCCTTCTTCCTTCTTTCCCGTCGCACCACTTGTGCTCTGATCTCTTCGGTTCCGTTTCTCGGATCGAAGGGAAAGGGATGGGGAGGGAACCGATGGATCTGGCGGCGGCGGTGGCGCTGCTGCTGCTCTGCTTCGGGATCGCAGGAGTTGCGTCGGACGCCTCCGACCACCGCTATAAGAAAAGAGACTCCGTACCCCTCTACGCCAACAAGGTCGGCCCTTTCCATAACCCTAGGTGAGGCTTGTATTCCTTCTCTCAGTCTGCGTGCTCCGATGTGAGATCTCTCGGGTTTCGTTTCCTGATGGCGATGATGCGTTCTTTCATCTGTTTTTCGGAGATTAGAATCGCTGGACGACGATCGGCCTTGAATTCCTTTCATTGGCTCGAAAATTATGTGAAATTGAAGGAAATTTTGGTAATTTCTTGTGGAAGAAGTGTTATGTACGTTCGAATCCCCTAAATGCTATTGATTTTTAGGATGAACGGAAGTTGCTGGTTCCTTATTTAGGGTTTTGCTCCCAACATAATCGTAAGGCTTCATTTCCCTTCGAGTTGTTGTGATGTCTTTGACGATCTCGAGAATCTTGACTGCGCAACGTGTTTTGTGTAATGAGTTCATCCAATCTCGAGAAAATTGACTGATCATCGCGTTGTCCCGTGAGTTCATCCAATCTTGTCGTGGATATTAGAAGTAAGGAAAGTTTAGGCCGTTGACAGCTTCTGAATGTTTTAAGAGATGGGACAACTCAGGATCCCATTGTTTTTAGCTGATTTAGATTATTAAGTTCTTAAATCATCGAAGATGATGCATAATTTAGTTCTCGTTCAATCGATCAAAGTAGAAAGAGTTAGATGCTTGAACACTCAAATGTTGAATACTATTCATAATTTGATTCTTGTATGAAGCTTACCTGTTCGTTTATTTCTTTACAGTGAGACGTATCGCTACTTTGATCTCCCCTTTTGCGCTCCAGGTTGGTTTCTACTTTTCTATTTGTTGATTTGTATGTCTCTTTGCTTATGTCTGGTGTTGACAACAGAACATGTGACTGAGATTAGAGAAGCTCTTGGTGAAGTTCTGAATGGGGATCGCCTTGTAGATGCCCCCTACAAGCTTAATTTCCTAGTGGATCTTGATTCCAAACAGCTTTGCAAGAAGAAACTTACGAAAGAGGATGTGGCCAAGTTTAGAAGTGCTGTTACAAAGGACTATTATTTCCAGATGTACTTTGATGACCTCCCCATCTGGGGATTCATTGGGAAGGTTGACAAGGAAGGCAAAGATCTGGGTGATTATAAATACTACCTATACAGGCATATCCACTTTGATGTCCTCTATAATGGTGATCGTGTGATTGAGATTACTGTCCACACCGACCCTAGTGCATTGGTGGATCTCACAGACGATAAGGAAATCGAGGTGGATTTTATGTACTCAGTCAAGTGGAAGGAGACAAGCACACCATTTGAAAAGAGGATGGAAAAGTATTCACTGACATATTCACAAACGCATCATCTGGAGATTCATTGGTTCTCAATCATCAACTCATGTGTTACAGTTCTTCTCTTGACTGGTTTCCTAGCCACAATTCTGATGCGGGTGTTGAAGAATGATTTTGTCAAGTGAGATATCTTTCGAGTTCCTAACTTTTAACTCTGTGATATCTTTCAAGTTCCTAACACTTAACTTTGGTGCTGCGTGTTCTTCCATAAGTTTTATTATGATTATTAATAGATGGCAAAAGAGAACCTTGACATGTTTAAAATATATTGAAGGAGTACCACCATACTTCAGTGCAATAGATATAACTAAATTCATGCTACTATTTACCAATTTCCTTATAGATTTTGACAATTAGATGCTTGTAATGTCTGATCAGCTTCCATTTTTTATGTCAAATATTAAACAGATCTTGTGAATTGCTATGGGGATTATGACTATAATGGAGAATTATTTATTAATATTTGGAAGTTATAAATTTTTGGTGTTAAAGGAAACTTGGTACTTCATCATTTTTTCATTTTTAAATTGTTTGAATGCTAATTTTATTCGATACACATTGTGAATGTAATTCCTGGTTATAAGCCAAAAAACAAAGAATAAGTAATTGCGCATACTAGGTATAATTTTATAATTTACTAGATTCAATTGAATTCAGTGTGATTACTTCTTAACCCTAACGAACATAAAATGTGTCGTATATAGAATCAGTTCAACTTCCAGTGAGGTTGTGTTGAGGTTCTTGATGAACTTTCTATAACTAAAATTTCTGTAATAGTAAGTTTATCTTGCTTGTTATTCAATCATTTATGAAAAGAAAATACAAATATGACATTGAGTGTTCTAAATGAGTGAAACATCAATGTATAGCTGTATATGGCTCTCCGATGAAAGTACTACAGGATGTTTATTTCCACAGAATGCTTCCACATTCTAGGTAAATATTTCAGTGGAAACATGATGATGTCCTAGGTCAAGGACTATGGGATCTTGTGTATGTGAACTATGCAAAAATATATTGCAGGCCCAGGTAAATACCCCTGATGAGAGATTGTCCAGTTATGACCAAGCTGTAAATCATAGATGTCAATAGATCACATATATCACTCATGGACCATAAGAAACTAAGCTAAGTTGACCAACTTAACCCTTTGTGTAGAAAACGCAGATCATGCTTTTGTGTATTCCAACACAGTCAATTGGACCAAAAAGCCATCTTACTGTTCTGTTTCGAGAAAAGTAGAAATTGCTTGCATTAGAGTAATATTGCTTCTAGCTTAAAATGTCTTAAGGTTTCTTCTTTGCTCATGATTTCCCAAAACCATAAGGAGATTGATTCGAGGTCTTATAATTCGTGGTCCAAAAGACTTCGCACTTGTTTACATGTTTCATAGTTTTATCTAAATTATGCATTTGTTCCATATAATTTATTGAGAACTGCATATACTTCAGTATGCAATACCTTGATGCTTGCATACTTAAGCCACTTTTTTGCACATTGCTTATAGCCTATTTAGTTACCAAAATATTGTTTTAGATTCTAAAAAAAATTGCAAACTGATATGATCAATTTAAGTAATGACATCAAATTGGATTTTGTCTTGTCGACAATCATTTTGTCCACCTAGATGATAAGGATGATGTCGAGATCTCTTAGGGACATTTTGATTTTTTTTGTGCATGCAAATTTATTCATAAACTTAAACTTGTGTCCTCCTTGTGTTCCTTGAAGGTATGCCCATGATGAGGAGTCTGCTGAGGAGCAAGAAGAGACTGGCTGGAAATATATCCATGGAGATGTGTTTAGATTCCCAAAGAACAAATCACTCTTTGCAGCATGTCTTGGTTCTGGCACACAATTATTTGCTCTGTGAGTATCTCTAGAAAGGCTTGTTTCGAGTAATTTGAGAAACAATAAAACAGAACTGCAGAGATCAACTTTTTGTTTTTTTTATTAACTTTTTGTTGTAGCTTCTATCAAATGATGATGTTTACTTGGATTAACTTTTTTGTTTCCCTTGACATTCATCGCAGCACGGTTTTCATTTTTGTTCTTGCATTAATTGGGGTTTTCTATCCTTACAATCGTGGGGCTCTTTTTACTGCTCTGGTAGTCATCTATGCACTTACCTCTGGCATTGCTGGATATACTGCTACCTCTTTCTACTGTCAGCTCGAGGGAACAAATTGGGTGAGACATTTTCCTCGACGACATTTCCTTATTTTTTCCCTTCTGCTGCTTTGCTCATCAAATTAAAATGCAGAATGATCCAGATATATGTATGCTTTTGCATTCATACCCATTAAAGACTCTTGCTGAAACGGTAGCTTAAGAAAAAACTTAACAAGTGAATAAGGTGATTCAAGGTTTTATATGCTTATTCATTTTCTGTTTGGCAGGTAAGGAATTTGCTGTTGACCGGATGCCTCTTCTGTGGGCCTCTTTTCCTGACATTCTGTTTCCTCAACACTGTTGCTATTGTGTATAGTGCCACTGCAGCTTTACCATTTGGAACCATTGTTGTTATTGTTCTCATTTGGACATTGGTAACCTCTCCGTTGCTTGTTTTGGGTGGAATTGCTGGTAAAAATAGTAAAAATGAATTCCAAGCCCCTTGTCGGACAAAAAAGTTTCCTAGAGAGATTCCACCACTCCCTTGGTATCGAGGAACACTTCCACAGATGGCAATGGCTGGTTTTCTGCCTTTCAGTGCAATCTACATTGAGCTTTACTACATCTTTGCCAGCGTGTGGGGCCACAGTATTTACACCATATATAGCATTCTGTTCATAGTGTTCATCATCCTCCTCATTGTGACCGCATTCATCACCATTGCGCTAACCTACTTTCAGCTTGCTGCTGAAGACCATGAATGGTGGTGGAGGTAAGCCTATATTATAATTTCTTCACTTTTAGCTAGCCTGTCTAATCATTTGTGCTTCTATGCTGATGCAATTGCATACAGACTTTTTTTATGACTAATCTTTGCTGCATATGTCATGCATTCTAGGGACCTCTATTACTTGTCGGGAAGTTCTTATTTAGAACAGGATTCAATTTTCTTTGAATTCCTTTCTCTACTGAATTGATCTGACTTGATCTCACTGCAATGCAGGTCTTTCCTATGTGGAGGATCAACTGGTGTATTTGTGTACGCATACTGTTTGTACTACTACTATGCCCGATCTGATATGTCTGGCTTTATGCAGACATCCTTCTTCTTTGGTTATATGGCTTGCATCTGCTATGGCTTCTTCCTTATGCTTGGCATGGTTGGCTTCCGTGCAGCATTGCTGTTTGTACGGCACATCTATCGATCCATCAAGTGTGAGTAACCTGTCAGTACCAAATCGAATTGATGAATCCGATTGCTTTGGCAACCATCCAGTTAAATCTTGCCCTTTGCGGGGATTAGGAGTAATACCAGTTTGAACCGACAGGGCTCTGCTTCTTCCAGAAATAGGCAGTTACTAATCATTAGTATCTATAGTTGTATGTTTCCCTGTCTTTGATCACTTGTTCCATTTGCCAATTCTTTGTATGACATTGTCAAGTAGTTTTTTTTACATGTATCTGCACATTCGTGGAATGGCTCTCTTATGAACCACTTGGATAAGACATATTTCTCTATACATCTAAAGAAACTTGTTTTAAGAGCATGGATATCTATCTATTCATTCTTACAAGTATCTGTGAGTGCTGGTCTTCCTCATTCTGGTTAATAACCTTCCATTTTGTCCAATAGTAGGAGTAAATGGACAACAAATTTGGAGGATTTTTACTGATGTCTAAGAACAAATTAAGAGCAATTGCATTCAGATGAACAGAAATCATAGCCAAGGATTACATGGTGGGTCATGCGTGCTACATTTGCATTCGGATGAACAGAAATCATAGCCAAGGATGCTCACTCTACCACATCGTACATCAAATCCAGACTTCTCTTGGGGAACCCAATACACATTACTTGATGCCACCAAAGGCAACATAGGTTTGGGCTCAATTTGTTGAACTTGCAGTCTTCGAGAGAGAAGATAAGCTTTGTGACCCAAAGACAAAGTCAGAATACCATAACAATTGAAATAGATACTCGACGTAAACCGACCATAAGACCAACAACAACATGTTGCATTAAGAATATAAATGACCAACAACAACAATATAAATGACCAACGACATGTTGCATTAAGGTGTATGAAAATACGAGAAGAGCCAACCCCATTTAGATCAAGATTTTGCTCAGAACAGTGCATCTCATTTTTGCCCGGGGAGATGTGTAACCATTGATGTGAAGTATCCAAAATTTTGCAGTGGAAATGCATCTAGCATTTCATATCACAACCTCCTTTATCGGCTTTATTGGTCTCGTCATAGAAGCTCAGTAGCATCAACAAAGGAGAGAGTATGATTCGATAACCAGTATGGAATAAGAATCAACAATTTTCTATGCAATTCAGACATGTATTCTTCCCACCTAGCAATTCCGAGCACCAAGTCATCCCAGCTGAATGAAGGTTTTGGGTCATGACGTGATATGCCACCTAAAATTGCCTCCCCAAGTTTGTAATCACATGGCACCAACAGCTCCAAGTTGTTTGATCTCTTGAGAACAGTTGGTCTGGTCGATCCTGCACGATGTACTTCTCTTTCTGTTGCTAATTCAGCAGCTTTCCAGCCACAGAATTGGACAACCTATTACAAAGATTTTTTAGCAATGAGTAGTAGATCAAAGAGTGGAGCTTAAGTTATAGATGCTTAGACAAGAACTCATCCAAAGTTCAATGCTTCTATTGCATGATCTACTTTACAGGTTACCTGCAAGGCATGCAGACTGTTGACAAATTCTTTGTCAAGAACTTCGTCACCCCTACCAAGATACAATCTCCCATCAAGCAGCTCGAGAGGATCGCATGGTGAATCATTCATGCTACATTTGCCTTCGGATGGACAGAAGTCGTAACCAAGGATGCTCACTCTAGCACAGCGTACATCAAATCCAGACTTCTCCTGGGCCAACCAATACATACAACTTGATGCTGGCAAAGGCAAGAAAGGTTTGGGTTCAATATGTTCAACTAGTAGTCTTTGAGAGAGAAGATTGATAAGCTTTGCGTCCTCGTCATGTGCACTGTCACGTGTGAACCAAAGAGTTAAGGTCAGTCTTTCACCATCGATTACCTGTTCCAGATTTAGATAGATCAGGATACCATAACAATTGTAACGGATATTTGACATAAACCAACCATGATGCATATAAAAGAGCAAAACCTATTGCATTAAGAATTTCCGTAATGTAATCTGCTTGTGAGGTCAAATAAGAGGGTTATCACGAATTTATTAGCACAAGGGAACTCATGTTGACAAGTATCAAGATGCAGGACTGTTCACTGGAGTTTCAGATTGGGTTCAATTTAAGTCTTGAGTTCATTAGGATCGAGTAAATCAAGCCTTAATTGTAGATTGACTTTTTTTTAGTTGATTCAGTTGTGTTTTTTTATACTTATAATATTGTCATTTGTTTTTGTTAGTAATTTTAGTGTTGTAAAAGAAAGTCCACGATGCTCTGCAATTTTAGAATCCAAGTTATCCAACAAAATTCAAACTTTTGAATGCGGCCTCTCCTTTAACCCCGGTCATACATTGAGTAGAAAATGAGTTTATAAGGTCACTATCTGTATATAGTGAGCTGAGAAAACCACGTTGTATTGATGAGTTTGATTAATGAATAGTTTCCTGGCCAAATGGTTTTGGTTACATCAATATCAAAGTAGCAGTCATTTCATAGGAATCGATTAATAAAAAATTCTACAAAATCTTTGCTGTGTGAATTATTATTCACATTAAACTACTATGAATTTATTCTATATGCAATCAATTCAATTGCAATTTGAAACTAATATTTAGTTAGTGCAAACTAAAATAATAAACAAGTTGATGATATATATACCTCATCTACAGAATGAACATTGCGTTCATCAGCTGTGTAGACCACAACATCCTGAAAATAATTAAGAAATTTGTTACTTAAGAAAGCCATATCTTGCTCCAGGACTGATATACGAATTTTTAATTTTTGAGCTTTGTCTTTCAACAACTAGTTGATTTCTTAACAATAAATTTGCATTATGCAGCAGAACATTTTATAAACATGGCAAAGTAGGTATTAAGGACACTGTAAGATATCTTCAACGAAGTGCTTACTCCAGCAGTGGGTGCAATTGACGAAGGTTCCCCATCTTTAAAATGAAAAAGTCCACCATTAAAATCTTTTTCATGGCTGTTCAAGTAGCAGACTGCCTTCAACATAAACAAGCACAAGTCAGCAATAGCATAATGTTATATCAAATGAAGACTGAAAGAAAAGGAATGTGAAATCGTCCATAATGCTAAGAATAAAAACAATAGGTTTATGGTTCAAAATTGAAAGGCTTGCCCTATCTATTAGACATTATTTGTTCATCATCTTAAAGTCCAGAAATTTATGCAACACAAGCACCATTATGCCAGTTTGACGGTGATAGATCTATATATTGGAAAATAGAAGATAAAAGAACAGTAAATAATTTCAATAGAATTTGCTAGTAGAAATCAAAAGGTAACAACATGAGGATTTTTCAAAATTAAATTAAAATTATTCTATGACATATTATTGGTGTATTATCATTTGGATCCATTTAGTGGATGGGCTTAATCAGAGAAGGTAATGAAATAACACTCTTAAATTTAAGACTGTTATTTGATATATGATGTGTGAACAAACATGTTTGCACAGGTGTAAATGACTTTTTCAGGATTCAAAGCCATACAATCGATTTTTTTGACACGAGAAAAAGCTATATTGGGTTTTAAGAGTCCACATGTCTCTACAATTCATAAGAAAACATGAAGAAATCACCTTAACAGAAGGATAAGCCACACAACATCTGTACTAACCGCAAAGTCCCTTTGTCTTAGATAAGGCTTATTATCATCACTGTGCCATCCGATACATGCTCCCTTGCACCAACTGCATACAAAATGGGGGAACACATTTTTAAATGCAATTCTTACTTCATATTGCATCGAGAATAAAATTGCCTAAACCAAAATAAGTTTACACAATTCACCTTGTGATCACCTGATTGGTTCACAAGAAGCTTTTTGAAACAGAAATAAAAGGAAAAAAATATTTTATCAATTTAAACCAAATGCTCTGTTAAAAGGTTAGGTTATTTCATGTACAAATGCACAACTAAAAGAGTATCAGGAGATAGGAGCCCTTTTATCAAGCCTAAATATGGGATAAAACTTCTGTAATCTCATACCCCCAAAAAAGTTGTATCATCTTCGTGCTAATTGATGATTCCCACATCTACCAAAAGCTTTTATCATTGATAGAAAAGCTAAAACGATCGTATCACATTCTGTAGCAGTCATCAAAATAATTCCAAGTTCCAACCATGAAAAATGCATCAAAAGCAGTTTTAACAGGGCAGTTGAAGCTCATACACACTATGATTAGATATGAGATGCAGAAAAGCAGCATCTTTTTCTTCTTTGCCGACTCTAAATAAAGATTCCATAATACAGATGCCTATCTTTCTCGTGGTGGCGATAATAGGAAGGGAACTTGGGAGTAATAATAACCTCGTAATCCAACAGAATAGCAGTGAAACGCCGATTCATTAAAAAGAAGGGAAGGAAACCTGACCTGATGAGGCCGGTGAACTCGACGAAGAGCTCGAACTCGCATCCGAAGAGATCCTCGACCGTGTCCTTGAGGCGGTCGCGAAGGGGGAGGAAGGGGAGGATGAGGTGAGCGCAGTTGGTGGCGGCCAGGTGGGGGAGCGTGGTGGAGAAGACACTGGGCCTGTAGCCCACGGTGCCGCAGCTCCGATGTATGAACTCCAATTCCTAAACAGTCATCAAACCCAATGTTTCATCAATCTATTGATCAGCGGAACGATTGGATGCAATTGGCGGTACCTTACAGAGCTCAGGGGAGACGAAGCCACGGAGAAGACGACGCGGATGCTCCGATGCGGTGGCCGCCATGGAAGCGTAGGTAAAAAGGGCATCGTATCCGTCCGGCGGTCGACACAAATCCATCGACGATACCGGTCGGGCCTGAGAGGGTCATCGGGTCGGATCCACTTTGAATTGGGAACCAGAATTATAAGATCCGATTAAGATATCCTACTCTTGAAATCCAACAACAAGAAGAAATTGATTTTATATATATATATATATATATATATATATATATATATATTCTTAATTAAATTAAAAAATTATAATATCTAATAAAATATGTTTAATAAAGATTTAATGTTTATTTATAGCGTAATAAAGTGGGGTCATTTCTAGTAAAATAGATCTGTTTAATGGTTGTGATATAGAAAATAAACTTAACCTCAGATGATGAAGAATAGACATGTCGAGTTGAAAGGTATATATGATAACTCAATACGATCCATTGCAGTTAAGCTGTCATGTCACTACTAAATCGAAACGCAAAATAATTTTTTTGTTGTAAGTGCCTGCAGTTGGATTGGTATTTCAAACTTTACATGTAGATTCATTTACTATAACGTTATCGGTTTTATGAGAGGAAACACAAAAATAAAATGCAATGAG